CAGCCAGGAGCGGCTGAGAGCTGCAGTTCCAAAGCAGTAACTGCAGTGAAGGCAGCACAGTGGCACGCATGGTGAATGGAGGAGAGCTCTTCCATTCCCAATAACCCCAGTTATTCTCCCTGCTCTGCAACTGGTGATGATTACCAGCACAGCCAAACACTGCAGTTCTGGAAGGAAGGGAGAAACAGAAATCCACTCCAATGCTGAGCTTGGCTACAAACACAGCATCAAACCGTTCACCCCTCCCCACTTCCTTGTGACAGATTCGTTTTTTCTTAAAACCTCACACAAAATACCCTTAGAAGCACCAGGCCCAGAAGTTCCAGTGACATCTCACACAGTAAGGAGTGTAGAAAGAAGAAAGCCTAAATTAGGGTCTGTATGTTCGTTATCTTCACTTTTTTGTGCTGGATTTTTTTTACACATCCAACAACCTGTTTCAGTTCTGCTGGCAGCACACTGAAGGCACTGCAAGGCCTTTGGGTCAGTGAGATTAACAGCTGCTGACACAGAGTTCAAAGATTAAGAGAAGCACTTGAGTAGCACTGCGCTTACAGGCTGCCAAGCTTTCACCACTGAACAGAGACTCGAGGCACTTGGTTCTCTGAGAAAGGCCTTTTAAACCCATCCGAGTCACCTATGATTTTCTGTATCATTTCTAAAACAACCCTGGACATCCATCTCTCCATGAGCTTTTTGCATGGCAACAGCAGCTCTGGATTTAAATCCTGTAAGCGGTGTCAAATGACCCCCAAGGAGGAAGGACGTGCTGACGGTTGGGTGGGGACGCCCAGCCGTGCTGCTGTGCCCTCACTGCTCCCTTCTGCTGATCCCACCTTTGAGGCAGCACTGAAGAACCTCACCAGCATTAGGGATATCAGCTCCGGCCCCAGCGCCTCACTTTCAGTCTTCTTTACAAAGCAGTTATCACAGATTAATCTGAAATGACTATGTTAGAGTCTCCTACTCAGTAATACTGTCTCCTTTAAGACAACCATAGAAAACACGACGTAAATAAATACGCCACTGCACCATCACAGCCACAGCTTCAACAAACAAGTCAGGAAAACCCAAAGCTGCAGTTTGCAGAGCATCCGCAGCATCAGCCACAAACGCTCCAACAACGCCATCGATGCTGAACGGAGGGACGGCGCTGCACATCCGTGCTGCTGCCAGGTTACAGCTGCCAGAGGAGCAATAATTTGCTGTTTCTGCCTTGCTGAGGATCCCAACCACCACGCCGTGGGTTCACTGCTCGTTCAGGTGAACTTTTTGCTAGAGAAATCCTTGCCTGTGAGAACAAAGCACGCATCTCCCCTCGCTGCCACCTGCACGCAGCCCAGGCTCTGGAGTCGCACGCTTTGCTCAGCACTTTCCAGCACAACCTCAACAAAATCCTCCTCTGGTGATGGCAGTGAGTGGCTGGGAAGGCAGCAACACTTTGTTGTGCAAACGACTGAGAAACAGAATGAATTGAGTTAAGCTGGGTAGAAATTCAGCATCTTTTTTCCTCTTAAAACAACTCGGCTTCCAGTCTGCAGTGACCAAACATTTAAAAGTGCAGCGTCAGAAACCCACCAGCATCTGTAACCAACACACAAGCAGTATTTGGAGAATCCGATCTAAAAATGACAGCAAAGGGAAGTCAAATCGTTACTGCGTCTCAAATTAAATACCCAGAACTAAGAGAATACCGTCTTAAGCAAAAATAATGGTAGAAGTGATGCTCCCCCTCACAGAAGTCCCATCAGTCTTTAAACCTACTGCTGAAATGTTGTCGTTCAACCGCTTTGGTTACGAGTGGCTGCTCCCAGGTTTTCTCTTACACAGGAATTCTTTCTCTTCAAGTGACCGAATCCTTCTTCCTCCTGAAGGGGGATTTCAGTCTTTTCCAAACGCTGCTTTTGGGTTTGGATTTTTTTTCCATTGCCATCACTGCTTCTTTTTCTTTCCTGCGGATCTCTCGCACCAGAGCGTGGAACACATCATCAATGTAGTAACGGTAGGCAGCAGAAGTTTCAAAGAAAGGACAGTTGAATTCTCGTGCCAAAGCAGAGCCTTCTTCTTTAGAGACCTGAAAAAAACCACATCTGTCAAGAAAGCCAAAACCAGAGAGGTTCTTCCTTTCTCTCTTCTTGTTCTGCTCAGCCCGGAGCTGCGTGCGCGCCCTCCCAGTTCCAGAACTGCCCACCTCCCCTGATGTCTGCACCTTTCTCTACAATTCCCCTTCTCTTTCACCCATCATTTCACAAGCAACGTCACCATCTGTAAGCGACCCTCCAGACACAGCAGCTCTGATCATTCATAAAACAAGAAAAGCCTTTCAGAGAAAATTCCCTTCTCAGGATGTAATCCTGGCTGCGCGACGCAGCAGCCCTCACCCCAGGATGAGCTTCTGTCAGTTTGGGGGATTCCTTCCCCTGGTCACTGAAGCTGTGCCTGCTCCCTCTGCTCTGCCCCACACCTCAGTATGGGTTCCACCTCAGTGACTCTCCTGCCACGCTGAAAAACCACCTCACTCCAGGCACACAAACACCTCTGCAGTTTGTTTTCCTCGTCGCTCTGAAGCTTTGCTCCAAATTGTTTCCCACAGACAAGAGCTACCATTCCCTTGAGCTGAAGCTCACTTTCCTTTCTGTGCATTCTTACTCCCATTATTAATCACCCCTCCTTTCTTAGCAGACTTGCATCCTCTGATCTGTAACGTTTGCAAGTGGTTTATCATGTTACCATCAATTGGCCTGGGTTGAAAAGGACCACAATGATCATCCAGTTTCAACCCCCCTGCTACGTGCAGCGCTGTACCTCCGTTAAAAGCACCTCTTTGCAGGAAATAAAGACAGAAAAAGCATACGATCAGCTGAAACTCAAAGCATCAACTGGAAGATTTCACTCCCACGGTGGTTAAATGCATTTGGTTATTCAGCAACTCCAGCTGAAATTCATACTGCTCTCGTGTTCAACTTATTACAGTGAACCCAGAAGAACCTGATCTCTTCTATGCCTGCATTTTGAAGCAGAAGCAGGAAGGGGAGCCTCCTGGGGAGCCACACACCTGCCTCAGCTGCGTCAGGTCGGATTTGTTCCCCACCAGAACCACAGGAGTGTCGTCGGTGCGCCGCACACGATAGATGAGCTGCTTGAATTCACGCACTTCGTGGAAGCTGCGTCGATCTGTGATGGAGTAGCAGATGATAAATCCCTCTCCAGCCCTCATGTACTGGTCCCTCATGGCCGTGAACTCTGCCTACAAACAGAACGCGACACAAACACAACCATTTCTAACTGGAAACATGAGATGCATTCCAAAATCGGCGGCGGAGGAATGCTGTGCAAATTTGGCATCTCCCTCCTCATCCTTTTACACGTGAAACAAAAACTTTGTGGGATCAACACCATATTTCTCTTGGCAAAGAAATAACATAAATACATGTTTTGTATTTGTAGAGTGATCCAAGGGATGAAACCTTCCCTAGGAGGACAGGCTGGGAGAGCTGGGGCTGCTCAGCATGGAGAGCTGAGAGCAGGCTTTCAGTTTCTAAAGAAGCTGTAATTGAGCAGGGGACAGACTCATTAGCAGAGTCTGCTGTGAGGAGACTGAGGGAAACTATCAAACTAAAAGAGGGGAGATTTCCATTAGGAATAGGAAGGGAGTCATGGAATCATAGAATCACAGAACAGCCTGGGTTTAAAAGGACCACAGTGACCATGAGCTCCAACCCCTGCTGTGTGCAGGTCTCCAACCAGCAGCCCAGGCTGCCCAGAGCCTCATTCAGCCTGGCCTCCAATGCCTGCAGGGCTGGGGCATCCACAGCCTCCTTGGGCAACCTGTGCCAGTGCCTCACCGCCCTCTGGATGGAAAACTTCCTCCTCATATCCAACCTCAACCTCCCAGTCTCAAAGCAATCCAAAGGCTCTGTGTATTTCTTAAGCCATTACACATCGCTTGCTGAGTGTGAGCAGTGAGAAGCAACAGAGAGAAACACGTAAAGCAAGAGAGCTGCCTGCGTGCCTAAACACAGCATGGGAGCGAAGCTGTGAGCACGCAGATGAATGAAGACAGCTCTAAAGGCCGTTCAGAAGAACAGAAAAGCGCTGTGGAACTCTGTCTGTCTGTGCCCTTGCAGCCTCTATGCTCTCAGTGGTGCTCACCAACCTGTCCTGCTGTGTCCAAGATGTCCAGGTTGGCAGGTTCATCATCGATGCGTATCCGGATCTTATAAGCATCCTCTGAATTCGCAGCACAATTCGGGGAGAACAAATCGTCAACGCCATCGCGAACACCCGTTAATCACCGACACGCAAAGGGAGCGTTACACAAAGGGAGACCGACGCGGTAACGGCTTCAAAGCATCGGCCGGCGGGGGGGGGCGGAGCGGGGCGGGCCGTTCTTACCGATGGTCGGGTCGTGGTCCTCGGGAAAGCGATGGCTGATGAACTGCATCGTCATGGCTGCAAAAGGAACGGCGCTGAGCGCGGGGCAACGCGGCCCCGACGGGAACAGAGCGGAGCTCCGCCCTCGCAGCGCGGGAAGCGCCCGGCCCCGCCCCGCCCCGCACGCACCGCTCTTCCCGACGCCGCCGGCGCCCAACATCACCAGCTTGTACTCGCGGGGCTGCCCCGCGCCGCCCGGCCGGGCCCCGGCGTCCATCTCCTCAGCGCCGATCGAACCGCCGCCGCTTCTGAGGGTGAGGAAAGCAGCGTGAGCCCAACGGCCCTCAGCGCGGCCCGGCCGCTCCGCTCCTCGCTCACCTCAGGCCGCTCCGTGACGCGTTTCACGCCGCCGCAACCGCGCGGCCCGGCGCCGAGCTCAGGCGGCGACCTCAAAATGGCGGCGGGGCCGCGCCAAAGAAAGACCGCCCCCATATAGCCACGCCCACATGGTCACATGACCGCGACCCTCCTCGGCCTCGCCCCTCCCTGACTTGGAACCATTCCCGATTGCGAAACGGGAGTTAAAGGCGCAGCTCACAACAAAGCCGCGAGCAGCAGCGCGTTTATACAGCATTTATACATTTATTTATAACGAAAGCACGGGTCTCAAGTATTTACAAGACGTAGGAAAGTCAATGTTTGTACAAAGGTGCCAGCCACTCCCAGCGCCAGGGAGCTACCAGTGCTGCTCCGGGAGCTGATGGCGTCCCACAGCCCAGCAGCTGTGCAGCACCCTGCCCTGCCACCACCGCCACGTCGTGCTTTGTGTCCATAAAGATATTCACACTCCGCTCCCCGTGCTTCACAGCGGGAGCGGCGCCTGCAGGCACGGCTCTGTGCCTCTCCTCCTTTGTCGAGCACCGTGAAACAGAACGGGGTGGAATCAAAGTGAGTTAAGAGAGTGGGAGAAGCTTGGAGAACCTGCAGGTCCCATACGAACTGCTGAGCAGAATGAAGGAGGCAGGGATTGCTGGAGGTGGGGGGGCAGCTGGCAGCCGGGGGCAGCAGCAGGATGAACCCACAAAGGACAAAACAACCCCCCCCCCCCAAGCACTTGGCTGGAACCAGAAGTCATGGGGTTAGAGAAACCACATTGCAAAGAAAACACAACGTGGAGTTACAACAGGAGATGCTTAAAGTAAAAGCAAAATTATCAACTTCAAGAAACGCAACCCAGCAAATTTCTGTGAACTATCGGACGCTGCTTTCCTTTGTTGAAAGTCCAAACATTGCATCCACACAGTCACCATTAACGGGACCGTGAGCACGGGCTGACAGCAGAAGCACTGAATAAAATACAACACCAGATGGGTGGTGAAGTCAGCGTGGCTGACAGCTTCCTTTTTTGTTTTTAAAGGGAAACAGAGGACAGGTTTCTCTTTCCAGAACCTCCCCCACGCTGTGAGGGACCGGCCCTGTCCAAATGCTATTTCAAATGGTTTTCATAGATGACAAATTCACTGCAGAAATAAAGAGTTTAAAAATAATGGAGCCCTTTCAAGGCGGAATACTGAACCTTTAGCTTCTGCAAATGTAAAAACAATGCATATTTGCAAAGTTCTTTTTGTAATATACATGCATTATTGCTAGAGGAAAAAAAATAATAATAAAGAGATGAATGAAGACAGTTCTGTAGCTTTTACGGTGCCATCCAAAATGGCATCTGTTGTTTGGCTCGCTGTTGTGAGGAAGGATACTGGTATCCCAAACTCCACCCCTGTGAAAAAGTACTTGCATTTTTATGGCCACCGTGTTCCTCCTCTTCATCTGATGAATCTCCAGCATATGCCACCAATCCAAAGCCCTTCTCGGATGTTTTCATCTTCTTTGCTTGATGATCTAGGGGGAGGGGGGGGAAAAAAAACAGAACAATCCCCCCAGCCCCCAAGAAGGAAAAATAAAAATAGAGAGAGATAAAATGCCCCAAAACAAGTTAATAAAAAAGATGTTAATTGTAAATCGTTAGTTGGACACCATTTTGAGGTCACAAGGCCAATGGTCATCCAAGGTCGAAGGCCACACGAAACAGCAGCAGCAACAGCACATGTGATCCATCAGAACCATGTAAGAGAACAGAGAAAGAAGAAAGAAACACACAAGAAAGGTCAAGTTAGCAAACGGGTCAAAGTGATGGCAATCGCACCGTTTTAGAGATCAACACGTACAGAAAAGTAGAACTTTTGCTCAAAAGAAAGCTAGCAGGAGAACAACCTCTGGGAGCAATACTGCAGAAAAACTAAGGTTAGACAAACTAACGTGGTTTGTACCTGCAGACTGGTATGGAAGGCACTAAACTACCAGGAGTTAAAGCGATCCCATGTTTTACCAAGCTGCAAACAGCCGATGTGTGACAGCCCTGAGAGAGGATGAAAGCTAACAACGCTCCTGTCTGCAGACAGGGTGACAGAACTCGTGTCTGTAAATACACACCTGAACCATAACTGACACTCCTCAGTGCTCCTAGAGATAGCTGTGCACAACGTAAAGCCATGACATCTGTTACAGAGCGAGCCCAGGAGATTGTGCTGACTGTGGGTCAAAGCTCAGCCCTCCTGCCTTCATCACACCCTCACCATTCACAGAGGCGTTTATTAAAGCACAACCAGTGATTTCAGAACGGGGCAATGATCTCCCTTCTACTGCACGCAGTAAAAAGGACACAAAAAACAATCGCCAATCTAAATGAGTGTTAAGACCACCGCAAACTCCACCGACAAACAGGTTCCACTCGTTGCACTCACCATGGCTGCCTGGTAAAGACCCCACACCATTTCTTTCTTCAGATTCTGATTTCATCCCAGTGACAGGAAAAGCTGGTGGAGGCATCAACTGCCTGTTCAAACACAAGCAAGCCTTCATTACCTTCTATTTATTTCTTAAGAGCAAGCACAAAGATAACAGCGACCGAATCCGAAACGCAGTCCTTGCCATTAACTCTCAGCTGGGCTCTGCGCCCCTTAAGAAGGACAGAAACGAACAGAGGAGCCAGCAGGCAGCGCAGGGCTCGTCCCATACCTGTCCCTCTCTCTCTCCTTTCCTGAGGAACTTGCTGACTTCGACCCGGCTCCATCGATTTCGCTCTGACTGGAGAAGCCTGTACCTAAATTAGTCATATGAATGGGTCCATGCTATGAGCAGAAAAACACACGGCATTAGCAAATCTACCACTACAACACAAGCTACAGCTCCTTAATGATACTGATAGGAAACCCAACTTTTCAGAGCATATTGCCAACTATTAGGAGCAGCCACTAATCACCTCTGTTCAGTACAATGCTTTTTTTTTCTTTTTTCCTACAAATACTGAGGGTGAAGTTGTAAAAACCTTCCTGACTCTGCTGTGGAAGCCACTCCAGCACCCCGTCCACCATCCCCGTTCTGCAGGACAGTGATGACAGCTGTTTGTTCCTGGTTTGACTCATTGCCTCTAATCAGCTCATTCTGAGTACTTAGAGGCCTCATGCCACAGTAAACTGTGCTTGACACATGTTAACAAGATCTGATGCTTAAGCAGATCTTTATTTTCTCCAGACCAAGCTTTTATTAATGGGTACTGCCTATGAGCATTTGCAGAACCTGCAATTTCTCACATAGAAGCCTGATGAAAAGCTCCGTTATTTAACATAAACTCAGCAACTTTTGCTGTCTAAAATGAACCAACAGTCACTTTCAACACTGGGATTCTAGAAATCCTCCCAAGCGCTGCCTGCAAGAAAGGGGAATGGGAAAACACAGACATTACACCCACCTCCCCTCCCTCTACAGAAGCCCATCCAAAAGACCCACAATAAAACAAATAGGGATTAAAAAAAAAGCCAATAACAAATCATCTCACTGTCACCTAACCAGGCACACGCTGCTGCCATCTCTTCGACCTGAATGCACTGCTGCTCTTCAGGAAAGAACACAGGCATGGAAAGCAAGCTGCCAACGCATCGGACAGCCCAGCCTGAGAGCAGAGCATCGGCTCAAAGAAATGGAAGCGTGGTCTCAATGTTTGCAGCCATCGCTGCTGCCTGCCCGAGGGCCTGTCTGAATTTTCGCACATAGACTTTGCTAACAACCATCCCTCTCTCCAGCCAAGTTCCATTTTGTCGAATGAAGTAAAATTGCTGATTTTATTCCACCTGATATCCCAGCAGTCCTGACTCCCTCTCATCGGGCAGCTCCTCGGTGAAACGCCTCTTTTGGCCTTGGGGATGGGCCTGGACTTGTGGCTGCGTACCAGCTGGCAGGCTTGTTTTGACCGGGGCAGCAGCAGGAAGGAAAGGAGCGCTCAGTGGACTCTGGCATGCAGAAATTAAAAACAAAGAAGATAATGCTTCATGTGCATATGATCAAGTCAATTCCACGTGAGGTTTCACACAGAGGATCAAAAAACGCAACCAATTTCTCTTTGCGGAACCTGAGAGGTGAAAAGGAAGTGCATAATTTAGAAGACAAGTACCTGCATTGCAGAATGCTCCCAGCTCTAAGTAATCACTGCCTGCAGCTCAGGCTCCCTGCACCCGCAATGCCTACAGTAACATTTTGCATCAATGGGTGACACCTCCCTGCATCACCCCTCATGTTAGCAGGGTGCAGCACGAAAAGAAACGCAGCCTGAAACTGTCATACGAAAAAATGAGTTGCTTGGCCAAAAGCATCAAAGCAACAACCCCAGATATCGGCTCTGTGTGCCCCAAGTTGTTCCCCATCTGGAAGGACTTCAAGTACGTCATTGTTAGCAAAGAAACAGCTGAGGAAGCCGACAGCTAGGAGGCAAATCGTTCATCTTAGCAGTACCTGCCCAGTGCTGGCTGGAGGCTGAACTTGAGATATTGGATACTGCGTCGGCACAGGTGGAACTCCTGCAGGAAGCGTTGTGAGGACGCCTGGGGCCATTGGCACTGCGGGTGGAACTATGCCTGGAACAGCATATGGAGGCTGAACCGGTTGCTGGGGAGGGGGAACGACAGGATAACCAGACTGATATCCATTGGAAGGGTAATATGATGGCTGAGAAGGAACGCTGTTGATAGCAGCAGGCTGTGCAAAGCCTGCAGAGACAAGAGGAGGAAAAAAGGGCCATCGTTAATGCAGCCAAGAGTCACAAAAGCAGTGAACTAGTTACAAAGGGTAAAGGAAACACGGCTGCTTTCGACACAAGGAGCAAAACACAAAGACTTCCACAAAGGCCTTCCGCCAAACCCAGCTCCACAAAACACAACACCAAAGGTTTCAGTCTTGCCAACGTTACCTGCCAAAGGTACAGCTGTCGTTATCTGATTCACAAACCGGGAGTATTCAGCATGGACCTGCAAAGGACGTTCAGAGGTGAGAAAGTGAGCATCCGATTCCCACACCGCAATCTCGCAGGCAAAGGGCAGCTGCCTGCTCATAAAACCACAAGGGAACTTTGACTGCAGGACACGCTGCACACAAAGGCACAGCAAGAATCCAAACATGAAAGCTGAAAAAAGATCAGGAATTCAAAGCAAAACCTACCAAAACAAAAGAAAAGTGGAACAAACCACTCATCCTGCTGGCCTGAGTCACAGTTGTGTAAAATGCAGGAAAGCCTTTCAGAGGATATACAGCATGGCAAGGGAGCTGCTTTGTTAAAAACAAAACACTTAAAGCATCTAAAAGCTCCCAGACGTGTTTGTCAATATTTGTCCTTGGATATGGGCTGCAGAAAGGCTCTGTCTGACAGGAGTTTACTCTCTTTTCAGTACTCTGCTTTGCTGCATTCAAGTTAAAAAGACTGAGAAATGAATTTCACACGTTTGAGAGATCAAGAACATTCTTCTGGTGCCAACCATAAGAATCTCTTTAGGAGAAAGAGACTGTGTGCCTCTGGACATTGTTTAAAGCTAAAGCAAGATGAACTCTGAAACTCATAAGAGCTACTCACGGTTTGCAACAGATTTTCACACAGCTTTTTAGCAGCTGCCAAACCTTCTGGCTTTGGGTGACTGAAAACAAAAAGAAAAATCCATAAGCACAAACATTTATACTGACCTGGGCAGCTCTTCCTTCACAGCAACCTGCTGCCAGACGTTTGCGTTTTAGGGAGCCTCAGCATACCTGATGTAGATGTACATGGGTTCAAAAGCTTCTCTGCCTGATGCTGGCTCGATGCAACCCGAGCCTTTTCCACGAAGGAAGACTTTGGCACCTGTTTCAATCTGAATGTGCTGCAGATAGGAGCAGCCGGGCCCTTCCACCTTCTCCTTCACATTAAATGTAGGTACAGCATGCTCCAGACCGACAAATAATTTGTCCTGAACGTAATGCATCTGTGAATGTAGAAGTAAAAGCTGACTGTTTCACTCTTAGGATGAGGATGTTGCTTTCACTAGAGGCCAGAAGTCAAGTCAGAACGCTCAGTGTTGGATGGCACAGTGGGCCCTTTGCCTTCCTCTCCATAGGACTGCTCTCTCCATCCCTTTTCTTCTAGGAGATCACTGTCACCTGAGCCTCACCCTTCAGACTCAGTCTGACCAGTCCTCCAGTTCCCACCACGGCCCCATAAGCATTTATTTCTCTCCATAAGCAGCACGTGACAAGCATACTTGTAATTAACTAATTAAAGTCACGAACCAATCACTCACCCCTGACTGGAATGGAGGCTTCTGACCAACTGCTGGAGACATCTGAGCGATGGGGGCTGGCTGGTGGTACACAGTCACTGTAGCTCCATTGAATGTTGGACTGGAACCTGTGGCAGCCTTCACTACTCCATTAGTAATTATCTCCTTAATACGATTAACAGCTCCTAGTGAACAGGATATGAAATCCACTTGTATTTCAGCAGTGGGAAGTTCCTAACAGCCCCCAGCGCTCCCCACAAAATCATCTGTGCTGACAGGATACACAGATATTCATCTTTTGGTAAACACAACAGATGTGGCGCACCATGCCAGCACTAAGAGATGTCCTCATGCCCAACGGGGAAGCAAACATGACAAAAACATCCCTAACCCTGCTCTGAATTCACAACTGCACGAATGAGCAAGGTAAGAAAAACTGCTGGCTGTAGGAGGTAAATACAGGTGGGCAGCTCTACGGTTAGCTTGAGAACATGAGCAAAATGCCTTCAGCTTCTGCATGCAGAAGGAAGTTCCTCGTGAGAAACTGCTCTGCTGCTGCATCCTGGTATGTGATGAGTTGTTATTTCTGCTGGTAAGCTCATGGCCACGGCTCCAAAGGGGTTGGTGGACATCTCAGTGCTCAGCCACCCCCAGAAACACGAGCACCTCCCCATTAAACTGATGGCTGTTAACTGCCCTCTGTCTGCTCCCCTTCAGGATCCACAAACCTCACAGTGAAGCACTGGTGCTTTCGCATTATGCTGATCAACACAGATTATTTACAGTGCAAATCCCCATCAGCCACAACAAAACCCAAGACTGCCTGAACACGTTGCCAATAAGGAGCACGAGAAGTGGAATGCTTGGCACACTTACTGTCAACCAGCTCCCTTGTCTGACCCTGGACATGAAGATACAGAGGGCGATCTCTAGGGAGAAAACATCAAACATCCCATGACATAACAGAGTGAGAACCTCGTCACTTCAACACCCAACTGCAGACAAAGCAGAAATACAAACCCAGGTCCCACTTTTGCTTTCTCCTCTGCAGTCATGAACCGCCCTCGAGTAGAGACAGCAGCTCCACTCAGTCGACTTATCTGAAAGCAATTAAGAAAACAGAAAAGCTTAGTGATAACAAGAACACACACAGCTTCAAAGCAGTTCAAGTTAAGTTGCCTTACAAAGAGACTAGAAAATGTTATTAAGAGAATGTAAGAGAATGAACAGTGCTGCTGAAGAACACTGGCTGTGCTGCCTCACCTCATGACAGGAGGCAATACTGAACAAACCCACCAACCACTAAACAAAGCACCTTAGAAAACACTGTTTTCGTAACAGAAAGCTGAACACACGTTGCCACAAGCTCTTTTAACCTCAACAAAGACGCAGACCTCGAGCTGCCAAGCCAAAGAATGCAGATCCAGCTCCTGAACGTACCTCATCCTGCGTCTGCCCCCTCGTCAGGAGGTTTCTGCATGTGAGGGGCACGTCGTTGATTTCCACCTCTGCCACCACGAGGTCATCTTTGCTTTTATTTGTGGCCGGGCCTTTCCCCAGAGCCTGCAGCTTCAAAAACAAGCGTTGCAAAGACCGGTGGTTGGAAAACCAAGTAATAAGCAAACAGAGCCTACAGGTCCAGGTTGGGTGAGCAGCCATTTTAATTTCCTGTTACATCTGTTGAACCCTCAAATCCATAAAATTATTCACAGGAAGTGCTTTAAAACGAAAATTTTAATCACTTAACACCCCACAGCTTCAAAATCAAGTGATAAACATTATTAGATTTATTTTCAGGAGATTTTGAGGTAATAATTAGTACTGGAGCTCTGCAAAAGGAGAAATAGACATAGAGACGAGCAACAACACTGCGCCAATGGAATCCACAGCGTCGTTCACTTGGACTGGCATTCCTGACCAATGCTGTGCTCCCAGAGGAGCGCTCACTGCTGCACCTCACGGTCAGAAGGCAGCAAGAAGTGCTTTCCATGCACAGAGAGCAGAGAACCATCTCTGGTGACTGCAATGTGGGGCACATTTGGTGTCCTTACGTGTTACCTACAAATAACTCCAATGACAAAACCACTGCTTGCTCTCAGACCGCTTCAAATGTGGAACTCTCAGAACACGCAGCTGTGCCACCCTATCAGACTGAAAACATAAATAACCTCCCCCGTTGTTGCCTTACGCCCCACTCCACTTTTCCCACGTATTCCTGAAAACTACTTGAGAAAACAGCAGATCGCCCTAACCCCCTCCCGGGGCCCAGCGCTCCCCCCGCCCCTCTCTCACCTTATCCGCCGCGTTAGGCGCCGGCTTCAGCTTCCCTTTGGCCATTAACATCGCGTTGATCTTCGCTGCCACAGCCGCGGCCGCATCCAGAGCCCCCGACGGAGCCGCGGAGCTCTCGGAGACCCCCACGGCGGTGCCGCCATCTCCGCCGCCGGGGAAAGGCCGGCCGGGCAGCGGAGCCGCGCCAGAGAGAAGGAAGGCGGGGGCCGGGCCGGGCTGATCCCATTTGCTGCGCCGCCTGCAAGCGGAGCAGATCGAGGAGTGCCTTCAACGCCCGCCCGTTGGAGGCCCGGCGCCCGTCGCTCCGCGGAACCGCCGCCCCGAGGCCTCCCCGCCGCAGCGCCCGCAGCCCCCGGCCTCACCCGCCCGCGGTCCCAGCGTCGCGCTGCCCGCCGCCTCCCGCTGACATGGCTCCGGCCCGGCTCCACCGCCTCCGCGCGAACCGCAGCGTCATTTCCGGCCAACGCGCGGCGCCGCAACGTCACTTCCGGCCGTTGCCATAACGACGGCGCACGCTCGACACCGCGCGATTTCTCTCACGCCAGATGGACCAGGCCCTCCATGGACAGACGGGAGGGAAGGCCGAGAACCGACAGCGGGCAAGCGAGGTGGAGCGGGGCGGGACCAGAGACGTGGCGGACCTCCCACTTCAGGGCTACGAACGCGGCCCAGCCTTGTTCAGGCCCGGCCTAAGCGAGGAGCGCCACAGCGCCCAGTGCCCGGTTTGCTGTTTCCCAGCGTCTTTACTTTCTCACCGAGTGTGACCAAATGCCCTCGATTCGTTTCGTGAGGGTCTCAGGTGTCGTCTGACCCCCTGGGATGGACCTTGGGGTTCTTAGGAGTCGCAGACGCAATGACTGCCACGCAGATGGAGCTGTAATGAAGGCTTTATTATTTCGCAGACTTTTGTAAGCAGTGCAGGATATCAGTATCAGCAGGATATCAGTAATCAGAATCGGCACTTCATTAGTAGCGGCCTAGAGTCATGAGGTGTGCCCTCATCACCTGGACCAGGCCAAACCCTAACGCTGCTCACTCTGAAGGTCATAATCTGACCCCAGAACGCATCCAAAGGAAAACATGTGGCTCGATCCATCCTCAGAGGTGCCCCTGCCTGAGGGGATTTCTGTTGGCTGCAGCTCCAGCCTGCAGCCCATGGGCGGGTGCTGCCCAGCTCCCAGCGTTCCATGGCACACCCTGTTCCCCTTTGTGTCATCATCTGAGATCACAAAGGGACAGAAGCCTCTACATCAGTGTTGGCTCAGGCCCCACTCAGTGCCTTCTGGCAGTCGCAGAGTTGCCCTCGCATCCAGTTTTCTCTAGAGGACACAAGGAGTCTCTTGTACCTCAGAGGATAAAGGAGAAGAGAGCTATTCGGCGAAGGACAGAGAAGGGTATCAGAAGTGTTTCCTGGTAGGAAACATCAGAAACCTTTCGTTCTTTAGCTTCACGTGCCCACCTGAAGCAAGAGCATGGTCGGCCTGCTAGAGCTGATCACTAACATCGAGCATTGGAACGAGACTGATGGCTGCAGCACAGTCACGTTTCCCACACTCAAGAAGCTTTCCACCAATGGTAAGGCATTTGGGACAACTCAGGAGATCTATTTGCTCCTGAGCTGTAGACCTCTCCCAGTACTTTTAGTCCGAAGTCTATCCAAAATTCAGTCCATGTCATGGATGAATTTACCCCAGGAGCTGTGGTAGATCACACTTGCCATCTCCTTGTTTAGAAACGTGCTAACAGGCCACAAACTTGCTGACTTAAAGCATTCTGTGTCTCTTCTTGCATTGCAGATGTCACTTCCATTTGGAACAGTGTTTTCAAGCGTGTTCAGCAATTGCTCCTGCTGAAAAAGGTGGGACTGCACCCTACCCCTCCCCTTGCCCAACGGCCTCCCCTTGCCCAATGGCTGCAATAGTCCAGGTAGCCCTAGACCAACAAGTGCCCTTGCTCTTCCACATACAGACGTGCCACAGATGTGCCAAAGACCACTTCCTTCAATCACTGAAGATATTAAAATAGTTAGAAGTACAGTACCTATGCCAAATACAGTAATGCAAATAATAGCACCCAAAAGTATTCCCAATTTGCTTCTCTGTTCCTCGCTCCTAGAGTGCAGAGCACACACACAACTGGGGATGCTTGGAGAGCAAAGGAAAGGGAAAGAATGTGTCCAAGTGCCTGTCTTTTCCAGCCCCCCCGTCTCAGTGTTCTGCATTAGGAGTGGGGAAGCCATGGGACACCCCTCTGCAAGCTGCCACAAGTCCTCACTCTGTCCTTCTCCTTTTTGTTCCAGCCTCCGGCTGTCAGCGTCACCGGACTGGGGACATTTTGGATTCAAAAATGGCAAGCCCTTGAGGATGGCAAGATCCTCACGTTTCAGAGACCGCTGTTTTTGCTGTCCAAGGCTGTTACACAGATCCGGGATTTCAAATACTTTCCGATACGCTTGCCTGGTAAGACTAATTAAGCAAAAATTTGGCTTAAATACATTTGCTCACTTATCCTAATTTGCAATCCTTGGTGGTTAAGACAGCACTCTGGCAGTGCACTTAAACCAGAAGCTCCTGGTGTGTTACCTGCATCTGCTCAGCTGCTGTGTGACTCAGTCACCTTGTTCCTCTTTTCCAGCTGACAGTGAGATAGCGGAGCTGAACTGTGAGACCATACGCCTGCACAGCTCCTATTCTCAGCAAACAGTGCAGGGCTGTCTGTTGGAGACCTTGGAGTACTTCTACCACATCCTAACAAATGGAGAAGATGCAGACTTCACATTCAAGGACATCGGCACTCTCGCAATCCGAGCGGAGCAGGTGGAAATGACATTCTGTGAAGACTTTTTACTGCATCTTAACACGTCTACATACCTGGTACAAAAGCTTTTCAATGTAAGTGTTTTGGTTTTTTCCTGCACTTCTTACAGCGGGTTTGAAATCCTGTACAAAGCCAGGGAACCCAGCTCTGCTGCCAGCCGTGAGCTGCCAGGCCACTGGAGCTAGGCATGCAGCAGTGAAAACTGTCTCTGTGTTCTTTCTTGTATTTGCACTAGTTCAGAGGTGCTGGGAATGAACACAGTCTTATTTTTGCTGGCAGGGCATAGCCCTGGAAAAGCCTCACCACAAAGAGGAAAAAGGCCAAAGCAGTGGTGGGGCCAAAGCTGTTTGATGATGAAAGCAGCAGCCAGAAACCCGGACTCAGGACAGGCCTTCCATTGTGTTTGCTCCATTGCCTTGTTCAGTGCTGAACAAGTGGCTGCTCTGCTGGCTGAGCTGCTGAGCGCCGTCCTTGCAGTAAGGCTGGCAACACTCCTCATCCTATCAGAATATGTGCCATGCAGCTTGCTTTGGCAAGAGGCTGAGGCACTCGTCAAGAAGTTTCCTGAGAGACAGTGAATTCTTCCACGTGTAGAAAAGCCTTTGTGAGCACTGAGATTCTTTCCCTGAAGTCACATCAGGTCTTTCTGTCACTTGCAGAAAAGATGGGTCGTCTCGGACAAAGAAACTGCTCTCCTGCCGAGCCCACTTGGCCAAGTCCACCTGTTGCCAGAGTGAGTATATTTGTTCCCGGAACTTATCTGGGCAAGTTTGGATGTGCTCAGCTCACATTTGGTTGTTTCAGCTCATATTTTGGCTCTTTCAAACGGTTTGGCAGCTCATTTTTTCCTTGCTTTTGCTAAGCTTGGACTTAACGTTCCTGATTGTGCCCTGCATTTTACCATTCATCCAATCAGAGGGAACTGGTTTGCACTGCAGAGACATTTAGGCAATGCTCTGATGTTTCCTCCACCTCTTTTCTGCACTCAAGACTGCCAAAACATTGAACAAAAGGCAGATCCTAATATTGCTGTCGTTTTCAACACAACATGGAAAGCATCTCTCAGAACGTGGAACAAAAGTAGATGATGCGTGTCCTCTGCCCGTGGCGTTTCCACGTTTGTTGTGAAAGTCACATCCATCTCACTACCTCTGAAATGCCTTCTTGTGTCAAGAGGGGCTGCTGAGCTGTTCCTGAGGCCAGCACTGTTCACTGGCTCCTGTTTAGGGCACATAATTTAGTCTGTACAGATACTTGGCACTGATCTGGCAAAGGAGCCCTTTTCACAGAATGGCACCTTCTTCCTATTTCCAGGTTTGTGATCAAGGAGGTTCCTCAGCTTGCTACGATGCCAATGCCAGAGGAAAAGCTACTTGAAAGAAAAGGTAACATTAATGACTGATCCTTGAGAGGTTTGTGCCTCTCCCTGTGCTCCTTCCCAGTGGCTGCTTAGAGCCTGTGGTACAACGAGATGCCTGGGGCAGCACTCTGTGTGCCTCTGTCCACAACTTCTGGTAAACATCAAGAGACACCTTTGGAACAAGATGGGACGTGTGTCCCCCCTGCCTTCCATGCCCCACAGTGCATCTCTTCCACGTTATGAGTTTGTGCTGGAGAGAGTGAATTTCTAGGAAGTTCAGCATTGGGAATTACAAACGCTGTCTTAAGTTCTGGGGATCAGAACAGCTCCTGAAATCAGAGTGCTGTTATGCAGCTCTGTGCCTGCAGTTCTGAGAGCCTTTCTCCTTTCCTGTTTACAGAGTCTCTTCTCTGCAAGCTACGCAGACTACGAAGGACCATTTCTCTCAGCACATTAACCTCAGCTGAGAGCGACAGTGAAGAGGAGCCTGCTGACAGGTGACAGTCGTCAAGGATTTGAGTGGAGTGCTCTTGTGCCTGCGTGACATTGGCACTGATGCTGCTCTTTCAGCAAAGCAGCATTCCAATCAACGTGTCCCAAGGAGGCAGAGCAGCATCTGTCTGCGGTGCTTCTTCATGCTTCCTTTAGTTCCTGAAAAGCCTCTTTGTTGGTAATGCTGAGGACATGAACAGGCTTCATGGCTCTAGCCCATCTTTTCTGCCTTTGGCAGTAACGACTCCTTTTCCTTCACTAAGTAATGCAGTATTTGAGACCACATCAGGCCAGGAAGGGGGATGCCAGCATGGCCAGTCATTGCACAAGGCACAGTTCCTCATTCCATCAAGAGGGACAAAGAGCTGTGTGTCCTGAACTTTCCTTAGAGAAAACCCTCGTTCCCTTGGTGGCACATCTGAGCATTACAGCTCAGTGCTGTTATCCCCCACCTGCTGGTGGGAAGACAGTTGGATGAAGAGACTTCATCCTGCTGAGGAAGAGGGCTGGATGGAGAAGAAATTCCTCCTGCACTCAGACCGACTCCCCTTGGTCTGTTCGTTGTTTTTTTAGACCTCTCCCACAAGTGCCAGCTGCAGAAGGAAGGCAGGAGAAAAGAAGTCCCACCTTTCCAGTGGTCATTTCTCATCCTGAAGATGATCCAGATAAGCTGTCGGCTTGGATCCAGGAGAGGAAGCGATTCATTTCTCAGCTAGAAAGCTCTGTAGACATTGAGAAAT